AAAGAGGATCGGTACACACGGGTGTTACGTCACAAGCGACTCGTACAAGTTTAATGTAGCTGTTACAATCAACTGAGTCTGGCTCCGTGGTCTGACCGTGGGACCCTGACGTCTTCCTACGTATTTTACACCACAGCCAGTGGTGTAAACCATTTATGGTCCAATCAGTTTCACAAAAGTGTTGTAATTTGTTGAAAGAGCTTCGAGGTTGAAATCCAAATGTTTCAAATCTTGGTAATGATTTCTTTCATCCAAGCTTAATATGAAGTATGGAAACCTATATTACCAAGCATATTAACATAATAACATGGTCGAAGATCGTAGAAAACACGTGATGTTGTTATAGTACATTTTAGGGGGGAATATCAAATGTTTATCATGTTTGATTCTTATTCGGCCGGTTGAAACGTGTGCACATTATGGTTTGTCCATTAAATTTTCTTTTCCACATAACATCCTATCGGTTTAAAGGAGATTGATCAGGAACAGAATGACAGCCCGTAAAATCAATGTTGTATTTGCTGCAGTTCAATACAAAGTCAAAGTCGAGGTAAAAATCTTGTGACTAACTGAGCAGTAGACACGGGTACGACTCCCGCTGTTAACACCGTGTACAGCCCAATGTAACCCTAGAGGCCACGGCCAAGCATCCTCGCTTCTTATTAACACTTTCAATATACTCTAGCGCGGGGCTTGTGAACAACGCGGATATTGAGTACAGGCCAAAACCAAATATTGTAGCATTCTATTCTCCTGCCGCCAAATCTAGCCCCAAGTGTGAAAATATGAATCATAAACACAGTAATGATGAACTCCCAGAAGTGTTGCCGCTTTATTAAAAATAGATGTGTCCTTAGGACAATGCGGGTATTGATCTTTTTCCCCGCGCGCGAAAAAGCTACAATAAAGAGGCGGCCAACGTGGTCGTTTTTGCTTGAGAGTTGAGCAGTGATTCTATTTCAAGAAAATGGCAGAGTAAATTTGGCGGGAATAAGCGGTAATTCTTTGTGGATGTCGATGAAACTCCGTCTTTCACAGACAAGGCCCTTTGAGTGTTGTGGCGGTATAACAGACGGGGCGAAAGGCACAAGTCAATGCGACTGTAGCCCATCCTTGTGCCGGGAAATATAGCAATCCATCACAAAATGCCAAGCATCAAATATCTCAGCTGAGATTGAGGGTTTCAACTCTAAAGCCGACACAAATTGAAACGGTGAAAGTGTGAATTCGCGCACGTTTTCAAAACGATTAACAGATCTCTCTTTTCACCGGCTGCCAGTTGTCGCCACCAAAATAATGGCCCGGCACCTTTTCTATGCAACCTGGTCTGCAGCTTGTTTCGCCTCAAGCTAATTTGCAAACTACGAAAGAGGTTTTATTTCAGAAATCCATAAAACATGTTCACGACGGGTCCTTTAGAAATGCTTCATGATAAATATTTTGGTTCTCACACCAGTGAATAAAGCCACTCCACGATTCACTGTACCGACAATGTCAGGTTTTGTATGGGATTTTTAAAGCTACTGTCGGCTCTCTTTACATATTAAAAACACTGAAAAAAAGTTGAGAAGGGAAAGGGTTTCTTTGACCGATTTCTTTGGTCTTTTGTTGAGCTGTCCGTCCGTGCGGCTGGTGCGAGCTGAGCTTTCAAATCGATTTGGTTGGAAGGGACACAGTGAAATCATGGTGTCGCGTTTGAAGAGAATGATTTCTTGTGTTGATTCTGTGACATCGAGGGAACGGCCCCGTTGACTCGACGGATCGCCCTGCGTATTTGCTCTATCAATCCCTCGGTCGGGCGGCTGCCAAGTTCACCCCTTTCGTACACAAAATTGTGGGTTTTATACAGCAGTCAAATATCGACAGCAGAAACGAATGTCAAGACCCGTGAGAGAGAAGCCGAACAGAGAGTGCAGACACCACGGAGAAGTATAACTCACAAAGTGTAATCACCTCTCAGCTATAGGCGAGAAAAAGCCCAGACCACCTTGTCCCAAACTTGATTTATTCCTGCCTTAACCCATGTCAATTTGCCGTGTTTGCCCAACACATTTAATCTCGACCCCAAGAATAGACCTAATTTCTAAAAGATACAGTGCTTTTGTGCACAAGTTGTACATTGACTCGCTATCAGCGGCGAGTTACCCTTAAAACGTGACAACGGGGCGACTTGAGCAATGGCGATCGCGCTGACACAACACGTCTCCTCCCGGTATACAGAAGGTAAGATTGCTGGCGATATCAAGACACTGAGGCCCTAACACAGATACAGCCAGGGGACCCTGCAATACGTGAGGTGTGTGAAAAATGCCTCATAGCCATCATAATCGCACTTTTCAAACTAATATTAGGTTACCACAATCTGCCGTCTCTAGCGCCATCCAAAGTCCAAAGCGAACTGGGACAAAAACTGTCGTCTTAAGGTTTGTCGGCCGAGCCCCGTCCCGGCACGGTATAGCCTTAACACCCGGCGCGGATCCGGAACAAGATTGCAGCGTTTTTATTGCCATTAATAACCAGCATGAAATGGAGGCGGTGAAGAAAACCCCCATCCTATATTAACCCAAGCCACCATTCCGCACGTATCGCGGTCATGCATTCTGTTCCATAGTGAAAATGATCTCAAATTGCTGTCGCATGGATGCGTTAAGAGCGGGGAAACTGTACCACTTAGATTGCAAAATTTCAATATAATAATCTCAACGCCAGTGTATACAACACTCTTAAAACGTGTAACAGTCGAATGCACGCGTGATTTACTAGCACAAATACTCACAATAAAGCTGCAGCTAGACCCGATTTTCCACAACCAACATTCAACTTAATGAAATATAATCGTAAAAGGGACGAATTTAACAAAAAAATTAAAATTAAATTAATTCATTCTTTTTTCATCCTGCCTTGTTGTTTTCTACTTCAGTTCAACGCATAACATAAAAGTGTAATATCAGGAAATTAGCATTATTTCGGGATTTCATTGTGATCTGTGTTATGACCTGCAGGTAGATTGATGCCACGTGAAAATATCTAACCTTTGATATATTATGTAAAACAGTTGACAACAAGAGTGCATGCTTCCGATATTCACTCAAACTGATTATTTATATACCTGTTCGACACTTGCTATCGCATGAACAATTTTTTAATTTTGTAATTAAAAAAATATCTGTTTTATGAGACATAATTAAAACATTACAAAGGCACACCAATTATTTGTAGAAAATATCACAGCAAAATGCGAACGTTTATCGAAATGGAGTACATTCATTCAAGATCATTAACAAAATGTTGATATGAAGAGTTGTTATTCCTGTACTTAACGATTGCAAGGCAGATCTAAAAAAAAACTCCAAACCAAATCATGAACATTCATATAAAGATTTTGTTACCGTTGAAAAATGTGGGTAGTTATTAATCGTAACTTAAGTTGAAGGGTTTCATGAAACTTTGTCGTTCAAAGGTGTCAGGAAGCCTGATCTTGTTATAAATACTTGAATGAAAGTATTGACAAAATCGCAAGGGTCAAAACAAATAATTAGAAACCGGTTTTTGCTTTTAAACATACCCGATACTACACAGAAGGGATCCCCACACACCGTGTCATTATTTCACCCACTGGATATCTTTTAAAACTTTGTTAGAGGTCAACTTTCTATAGCAGGGTTAACCCTTACCCTCATGTCACCGATAAACATAGCAACATGGAATCTAAATATAGTTCAGATCCAGAAAGAGAAAATAAGAAAATGTGCGTTGGCCTCTCACCAGCAATGATGGAGGATTTCCAAAGACCTAGCGAACAACCCACAAGTTCAACTTAGCAGTGTTCGTGGTATGTGATGTGCGTTTGGAAATAGTTTCGCCCGACATGACAAAAAGACTTTCGAAACTGTTTGTAATGTTCTCCTCGTATTACAGAAAAAAATTCAGAAGTTGTCAAGGTGAAAAATCTGTTGAAGTGCACAGATGAACGTTTGTGCCTTTTCTCCAACCTTTACACGGTAGAAAGTATAAATTGAAATACTCGCATTATCGCATACGCGCAATCGGGAAAAAATATTTGAACAACTTTCATAAATATCCACCTAAAGGCAAGATAGCAGAAATACCGCCACTCCAACCGTATATTTGCGAACAAATGTGTTTCTTTCATGTGCAAATAGGACGAACATGATCACTGTGACTTTTTTCCCGGCAGGAGATCTGAATTGCGAATCCACTGTATTGCCATTTCCTTACTGGTTTTATACAAGTCAAACAGCCGCCATTACTAGTGAATCACGAATGTCTCATGGAAAGAAAATTGTCATCGTGATTAACATGTGACTTTATCGACAATCGTAAAAATACAATCTTTGTACTACAGAGATATATCAGTTTTCAATATCAATTTGCTTCATTTTTCAATTACATTACTAGTTTAAATACAATTTCCAGGATGACACTAGCAGGAAAATTGAACAAAATAGAGTTGCGTTCCACACGAACGAATTCAAATTGCCGCGAATTACAATAATTGACGTTGCAAGTTATAGTTACTGGTACTAGGCCAGGGAGTTACAATGTGTGTTCGAATCAATAAAAGCCCGAATACTACTTCACGACATTGCTGGTAGGTTTGAGTACTGGTTTGACAAACGCGATTGTGAAATGTTGCATTCATATAATCTGAATATCCGAAGATTTAAAATCTTGGGATTTACTTTACAAGGCCATTCAGAATTTAAATAAAGGCGGCCTCGCACAAATTAATACAAACTATTGATATAATACTAGTCTTGTATGCAAAAGACTGGCACGTCAACGTGAACAACGATCAACTCTGACATATCACACATTACTTGGGCGCTTTTCCGGTGAATGTATTTATTCCTCCAGTATGATTCAACATTTGAGGTTCGGAGAAATTGAGATATTTCTTTTGTGTCGATCAGGTAAAAAATGGCGTTCCACAGAGTCCAATTTAGAAAACCAAAATAGCAAGAAACTGGTGAACTTACGAAACCGTGCTTGTCGGAGATGTTGTTGGTGAGTTTGAGCTTGTGGAAGGACACCGTCTTCTGCATCCACTGCTCGCCCGTGCTGGGTGAGTCCGGGTGGATATACATACGCTTGGGCATCTCGGGGTCGGCCTTGCCTGCCACCATCCAGCGAGAATTGTGGAACTTGTAACGGCAGTCATCGGCAGCTACGATGTCCATGAGAAGGATGTACTTGGCCTTCTTGTCTAGGCCCGAGACTCGGACTTTGAAGGAGGGGAACATTCGTCTGTTTATGGTAGGGTTGCAGAAACAAAGAAGACTGAATGAAATATCGCATCAGCTGAATTCTTTTCCGTGCTTTAAAAGTACGGGATTAAGCAGCTCTAAATTCTACAATTCAATGTGAGAAAATAAAAGATAGAACTTGCAACCAGGTTCATAGTCAACGTCTAAGTATACGAAAGAAATTCCAAGATTGTGGAACTCAACGAGAGAGGTATTAGTGGAAATTTCCAAGCACTTTCCGGCCTAAGACTTGATGGATATTTCAGTTAGTGTGGACAAATTGGAACACGCGATGCTTCCATTTTGATCTTGCTTTGAACAACTCCAGGCCACCGCAGCCTTGAATTATCTGACTGGGACGGTGGTCGGATACACATGGTCGTTCACTGAGATATCATCGATTCTTAGGATAAATATTCAACCTGTTTCCTTTCCCTAACTGCATTTAAGAGATAGACTTTTGCAACTTTGCAGAGTTAGTTCAATCCACAAAAGACAGAACAACAAAATGTTAATGATGCTTAAGAATAAATCGAACTATTTTCTGAAACAGGACAAAAAATTATACAAAAATATATATTGAACTGCTTGTGAAGTTTTTAATTAATGCTCTTTTCTTACAGATAAGCTTCGTGGGGTAAACCTTTTGTGACCACAAAAAAAGACGCGCAATAATGAACGGAAAATCACTCCGAGGAAATATATCCTTCTTTTGCGGCATTTTTATCACCTAACATCCAAAACTTGGGATTCATCTCTCATGCATCGTTTGTTCGTAACTCAAAAGTCATTTTAATTATCACAGGAGTTGTCACCCACGGCGACATTTCGACTTCTTTAACCCGAAAGGATCCAGCTCAAGTGAAAGAATATTAACGTTTGATTTTTTATTTCTACGAGGAACAATTCTTGCCGGGTCCAAACTCATCTGCAAAAGTCGCAAGGATCGGAGAAGCAATGATTTCGATTGAAATCACTAGGACTCGGTCAATAAATGGAACATTAAATTTCTCAGAAAACTTCAATCAAGCGAAGACTGCTTTGCGAAAGTGGAAAGTTTAAAAACATGACGGAATGACTCTACATGTATTGATTTGATCACTGTAAACGAAAAAAAATGTTGGTCTATGAGGGTCTTATACTAGGAATATCGGGACAAGTTTAAGAAAACTATAAGTGTCTGTAATTATTTTGGACTTAAATGTTGCAAAAACAAGTCTTATGTCTTGGTGCACTTAGTTACATGAGACATTCGGCATTCGTACTGCCGATACCTTTGTCCAAAGTGTACAGGTATTGACTAATCCTGGAGGCAATGACAAGAACGAGGGGGCTTCTCAGATGTCTTTAGGAGATGTCTAATGACCCGTCTCAAGTTACGAGCTGAACGGCAACATTAATTGAGATATCCGCGCTATCAGTGAAAAATCTGAAACTGGTGAAAATTATTTTCTTGGCGAATTCAGTAACAACGTGTCTAATAATACCAGGTTTGGATGAGTTGAAAACATATCTAGCTTTCTCAAAGTCTTCAATAATATACGTTTCGACATCAACACCTTGTGTACTGTGGTTTATTCATCTTGATAAACCCGAGATTACAATGCGTGTTTTACCAATCACTTGAATGTTTCAATGATACCAGGAAAAGAGGAGACAAATTGAGTATCTCTCAGTTCCAAGGATAAAACCTTTTTTATCTGAAGCAGGGCACATGCTCGTTTAAGTTTAGAAACCAAGTTTACACTTTTGCCTACGATTACAAGTTATCAAACATGACTAACAAAACTTTTACATGTTCGCGAGTACTAAAACCAGTAAAAGACCAAACAGTTGGTGAGTTCTTTGTGAGTTTAGTTCGAAATCGAAAGCCAGTCACGCTGCCCTGCTATCTGCCATCGCGTGTTTTAAATGGGTTATGAAGTCGAAATCGCAGAACTCTAAAGACTCTTTTGAGTTGGCCATCTGTAATTTTTTCCACCAAGATAACGGGAAACGATATGAAGTATCGCTCAATTGAGATAGTCTTCTTTGTTTCAGTTTAATCGCTCTGTGGTTTAATGGACTTCAGCTACTACAACAAGTGTATTATTTGAAATGCTAATCTGGTGCTGTCATTTAACGTTGAGAATGGCCAACCAACCGGTTCATGATTACACGTCCATTGGCTACAAACCGTTATCGCTGATAATTGCGAGGAAAACGGGTCAATTTATTGCACTCCTACTTCATTTTGTTATCACAAGAAAAATATCACGTTTGCTAGAATGGGCGCCCCAGGAAAGAGATAAAAAATTAATATCAACACTAGATACCGACTTACACTTAGAAAGACCAGTTTTGAATGGTGTTTATAAAATGCTCCATTGATTTTGGCGAATTGGAATGAAATCGAAAATGTGATAAAATATCGTGCAAACCGAAAATAGTATAGAAGGCACTGTGCACAATTTATCAGAACTTTTATAATCGTGTGACTTTCTAACAAGTTTAGAGTTCACCTGTTTCAGTAGACAAAAGAAACGTTGATTATTTTAAGCGTGTTTTGTCAAGATAGCTAGGGCGCCCACCGGGGCCGTATCGGGGGGACAACGTAGGCCCCTCGGGCCCATATCAATCACGGTAATGCCAGTGAGCGTGCTGACGGGAGTGTACAATCCACGGTATTCCCTCCATTGTTAACACTTTTTCTGCTTTAGTTATATTGAACCATAAAGGTTGAACAAGAACTTCTTGTTTCTGTTGTAAAATTGAAAGGTGAGTGTTCCCTTTTTTTACTAGCCGCGGGGCATTTTATTCCGCTGTTTGTGGAATCTCAGTCATAATACAGACAGCTGTGTATGGCAGATAGAGAGCGTGTGTACACAAAAACCAACGAAGCACGTGGATAGAATGAAAAGGACACAGTGACAAACTCGATGTAGGATACACTGGGATATGTTGAGATAAGTGCCTTTGCAGTAACTTTGACAATTCCGAAAGGATTGCATTTGCAATGACAGATTATTTCGCTAAGTTGATATGAAAAGCAAAGAAAATGTCGCTCTGTTTAAAGTTAAAAAAAATAAGTTTTTTTCGCAAGGGGTATATAGAGGTAGAATTAACAGTAGAAAGTCAAGACTTACCGGCCAGATTTAGTGATGACCATCTCTGTCCCCCTTTTGTGAAATTGATCCCAAAGCTCCTTGGATTCCAGAGTCACTTGAGGGTCATCTGTGTCACTTTCTTGGGGCTCGATGCCATGGATTTGTTGCATGGTCTGCCTGTGGTTGTGCGCCGCCAGCAGATCGGCTTGCAGCGCCGTGTACGGGTTGTGCAAGTCGCTGAGTTTAGGCACCGGGAACCCGGCCGGCATGCTGCCGGCGCTGGCCCCCGGTGCACCCGCTAAGCTGTGGCCCCGGAATACGCCCGGAAAAAAGTGCGGCTGCGTTAGCAAAGAGTTGACCGAGAAGTCACTGAGCCGTGGGGGTAATATCGGTGCGTAAGCCATGGCTGGGAAGGTTGAGGGTAGCTCTGCTTGCTTCATGCGAGAAGAAAGTCCGGGCAGAGTCCCGATGACGAAGGAGGTTGCTAGCGTGTGGTGAGTGCCAGCCAGCTACCGTACAAGTACGGCCGATTACGGTCGGTGTTATCAGTGGCTGCTGCCGCTGCTGACTAGCTCACAACTGCGTCAGGTCTGGATATAACCAGTCTCCCGTACTTCCTGCTGAGAAACCAGTAACTCTCTCGACTCCAACTCCGACTAAGCCCAGACGAGAACACGGCTGGAGTAATGAGGCACGCAGCTTGATTGGTTATTTGGCACGCACTGTCCAATAGGAGTCCACGGTCAAGATTGCCTGTGTCCTGCTAGCTGGTTGTTCAAAGTCAATTTATTCCGTAGACCTGTGGGATAAGATAAAATTAGCTTCACTTTTAAAACCAGTCCCAAAAATGCGTATACGTGGATGGAAATTCCGGTCCGTTACTTCTGGGTCTGACAAATCAGATCTGCATGAGAATTGTTTTCTCATGCGCGTGGTAGTGCACAGTACGGGCTGGACTGCCACCATGTATATCACTGGCCAATATCTAGAAGATAGAGTTATTAGGCCGGCATCAGGCAGCACACCCAGTGCAATGATGATGAAGTGCACGGTGAGCTGAGACCCTACCGTACCGTGGAACGTGGTGTAAGACCGGCTTTACGCGATCTCTGGATGGATGGTTAGGTTAGGCTGGCTTGTGACTGGCTGGTTTACCGTCACACACAGTGTCATCACGGACGGCGATGTATGGTGTTCGTTTGGCACGCCCCTCACTTGGAGACTGACGGCAGAAGGTGTCAAAATCCCATGCCCATCCTTTTCATGCTCGTGTTTCGCTTGACTATTTCCCAAACCACACGTTCAATTTTGTTTTTCTTAAGCAAATTACCTCCGGTTGCCTCTGTTCAGTTACTGTGTCTCCCTTTAGACAACATCGGACCTTTCTTGGGCTAGCGTAATTTTCTAGTCGTGATATCAAAAGCCAGTAGTTTTGCGCATGTGTTCTGTTAGGTCAATTTTGTTGTTTTTTATCTGTATCTCCCCTCGCCTAAACCGATCTGTGCCGATCACCCTATTGTAATATTTATAGCCGTGCATTGGGAGGCGGGTCTGTTAAAAGCGTGAAAATGATGCGGGGACATCTAAGGTGATTAGCTGTTGCAGCATTCCATTTTGACGCAAATGCCTAAGTACTACTGGCGCCAGCGGAGCCAGTGCACACAATGAACCTTGTCTCGGTATCTTGTTGTCATTCACCAAACTGTACCACGAGGGCCCCGCAGTCGGCATAATCTTCCACTGGAGGGTTCGCTAACCCGCCGGCCGTTCGGCACGTTCAGTAAGAATGAAGAAGAGAAATCTATAACGGTTTGGGACCCTACGGCCGGACACGAGCGTTTATCGGAGGGGACGAGGAGGAACAAATATCAAAAACAATTTCGCTTTTCCCAGCTAGTTCTGCCTTTCTCTCATTTCTTTTTAACTGCACACTTGTGTGTGTGTGTGCGGGCGTCTGCAGCACAAACGAAACATCACGGCTACAAAGGTTATGCGCAGCGTGCGTGTGCGTGTAGTCACCGCTATTATCCATGTTCAGGGGCCAAAGTAAAGAGACTACTGCATCGTTGAATGACTTGCTATAATGTGTGGCTCCGTTATTCTTTCTGCCACTTTGTTGGCTCTTGCCACTAATTTTGCACCGAAAATACTGGATTAAAACACGTTTTTCTGTCCATATTCGTGACCATGAAACAATTGCAATGAGTGTGAGTCGAAAAGGGGATTGAACATAATGTAGGGGGAGTGCTTTGAGGAACGATTTTTGATCAATATTGTGATCAGTGCTGAGGGGGGTGGCCGGGGTATTTAAGCTGTAGAAATCGCGCCACTTGAAATCGTTCTAAGGGTGTCTGCGCCAAAGAGGCCTATTATCAATAATTACACCTGTGATTGACAGTTGCCGCGCGACATTCCCGCCTCCAGCCAATCAGCGTCGAGCTGGAGATAATTGTTGTTGACTGGCTAAAGTGTTAACATAATTAATAAGCGCCAGAGAAAACACGCGAGGTGTGAAATCCCTTTGTGGCGGGCTGAACCGCCCCATTCAGGGGACACAGCTACTAAACCTTACTGGCGCCAGGCTCCGCGATGGATGATTAATTCCTACAAAAACATATGGGAATAGCAGACACCGCCGGGCATGGATAGGCTTGCTGGCTGAAGAAGCTTGTCCATTGTTTCAGACCCAGTTTGCAGACAATCGGGTCTCCTTTTCTCTCCTTTATCTGGAGCAGGGGTTTGTGTTCTAGCCTCTTCTTTTCATCACGTCGGTCCGAGGAAAGAATGAGGATTTAGGGAAGTTAATAGAATTTCGATCGAAACGGGTCTGGTGGGAATAGCGTTGGGTTGTGTGTAAGTCCGTGTAAGCTGGGTACTATGTACAGCGCGTGGCACCTCCTTAGCTACCGCTGTGCCCACGCTACCGGGGAAGAGGGACCAGCCTACGGTATGGTTTCCCGTTAACGTATGGTCCGGGGTAAGCGGTTCCCGGAGTTTGTCTTTATCGCGTCGCTTAGCGTGTGGACCAGTCCCGCTGGCTCCGGGATCCCCCGCCCAGGCGTCCCTGTTATCTATGGACTGATTGGAACGTGTCAGTGGTATTTCTGTGCACACAAAGCCACTGCACCGTGTTTATGTTATCATCTCATGCGGCTATTTAGTTTTCTTTCATGTTTTTTCTTGCATGCCCGATGGAGCCACGGATACTTGAATGGCGCTCTATACGCGAGCGCGAGAGATATCAGCGATACACTCAACGATAGAAGGCGGCTTAAAATACACACGGGTTGTCATTAGCGGAAAAACAATGGGCCGGCCGGCTCCATGACAGTTGAAGCCCGCCCTCACTTGTCTTTGGTAGAATCAGCCGCTGAAAGGCGCATGCCTAGTATTTTCTCTATGCTTCTACGGATGACGATTATTCAGCCTCCAGACACGATGCAAGCCGTGACCGCGTTTTGACAAATGGGGAAAAAACGGAAATGCGAGCCTATATAGAAACATAATCATAGTCCGAAGCTATCAGCAAATACTGAAGTGGAAAATGGTGCTCATAAGATTTTATATATAGCCGGAACAAAATCTGAAAATGTCCAAAGCAAGTATACCGGTATAAGGGGAGTCAGGTTGGCGTAGCGGTACTGTCCTCGCCTTCCACCGCTGTGATCCGGTTTCGAATCCTGCCTGGGTCAACATGTGGATTGGGTTTTCAGTCCCTGTCAGATTCCGTGAGTTTTCCTCAGAATATTGTTCTGGGGTTTTCCTCCACCCCCTAAAACTGTAATTGCTTCTCATTGTCTTCTCTCCACAGGCTTCTTCAGGCTTGGAGCTACAGTGCCTAGCTCGCTTTTGAGGAATCCTTGATTTCTTTCATTGCCAGAATTTATTAACAATAATAATAGGCATAATGTGTTCTGCAAAAGGAGTGAGGATCCTTAAGCCTTGATTCCATCACGAACACTGATAATAATATGGTTTACTTGGGGACCCGAAAAATACTCGACAACAGCTCTGCTATTTGGGTTTCAAAAATCAGTTATTCACAAAACATGAATATAAAGGAGTTGTGCTAATTATAGTTAACTTAACTTGTAACCTTTTAACTGTTGCAAAATTGTTTCAATAGTTCTAGACTGGACTTAATATTACGATAATGTAATAGGAATTGTTCAGTTAACCATTAATTTATTGTCATTTTTTATGTAATAAGCTGATGTGTTCCTCCTACTGCATGTCTGTACACCTTATCAACAAACATCTGTTCAGTTTGGATTTTAAATGGCATACATTTCCATCTTGACCTGTTTATTCATTTTGCAATGCATTATTCAATAATGGTTGAATTTCAAAACATGTATTTTGATTTTACAGATTCCTTTATATTAATACCGTAAGCCGGCAGAAAACTGCGCCAGTATAGAGACTTCCTGCCTCTGTTCCAAAGCAATTAATGCAATTTTACCGACACTAAAATCACCAGCCGGGCATTTTGTCAATTTATTACTGAATATTTTATGATAATCATGGCAGTCGATTGCGGAATAATTCATATTTGAGAACTGAGTGTACTAATTCGAGCATCAGTTTATACATGTACTGTGGAACTTTAAGGAGTGAATTTGATGGGCAATTGTACAGTTTTGAAGACGGCATTGTTTTTCAGTTGATTTCCGGCTGTGGTCTGCGAAAGATGTCGTGTAAAACCTTTCATTTTTATTAAATAAATTATTCGAAAAACTTCAATATGGAATAATAATAATAATAATAATTACGTTTCGCACATGTTGTGAACAAGTTCAAAATTTAATTTCTGCATGTACTCTCTCCAAGTGATTACACGAGTAACACTCATAATTTTCAAGTTCAGTTCACTTTTAAGGCTCAGATGCAACTTTTTGGGGGTTTGTTAAATAAGAATGGAAAAGCACAATTCTTTATTGTTGTAACTAACCCATTGACATTTACGTCTATCAATCTTGAGACAACACGATGTCAAGTTCAATTATCGAGTGGTTCTGAAAGTCTCTACCTCAACTTTCGTCAGTCTTCACCTGATGATTTCGCACGAGTTCTAAACATACTCGGAAAGGGAAAGGGTTTGTTTTGTGTAATGTCCCAATGTATTAGCAGTGTGCAAACATAGCGAGCTAAGAGTGTTGGCCAAAAGGCGACGGTAGGTCCAACCCTAAGTCAACTGAAGCAACTTGACGTGGTGCGAAAAGTAAACGGCTGCCGGGTGAATTGTCCGCCGAGTTTTGTCCCCCTCAAGTGGGTTCAAGCTGATTAGATTGCTCAATGAAATTTTAAGGTTCTTTCACGTCGTTGTACAAAGAAGGTATAACGGGAAGCTAAATCTGAGCGGCGCCAAGAGTGCTGGAGATACCGTAGAGCAGCCCAGGTGAACGGTATCCGCTAAGGAGCGAAACGGCTACTTCGCACTCCGCAAACCAGTTGGCGTCATTGGCAAGGGGTGTGGTTTGTGAATGGCACAACATAACAGAGCAAACATGTCCTAAAATGGTCACTTCGCACGTTTAAACAATGTATAACACAATGTTTACCTGTACAGTTTGCCATACTGTGTGTCGTCCCTTTTTTGGAACCTAACGTATGTTTTGTATTGATTCATGCAATTTCCTTGTTTCGCATGACAGGTCCAATTTTGGCGGCATTTCGCACTAATGTTTTTCTACCTGAATAATAGAACTACGTTTCCTCTTATTTCGCAAAAGCGTTGCTCAACAGGAAGCAATGAAAACACCTCCCTAAGCTTAGAAATTCCTTGACAACAAACTGAAATCTGTGAGAAGACCCAAGGCAACCCCTTTCACACTGGAGGTGCGACTTGCATCAAATCAAAGTGCCGTGCCAAACACCGACAAGACCCAACACTCAATTGAACGGGCCCTGGCCAGATCACATTCCCGTTTTTATCGATGCAATTGAGGAAAACCTTCATGTAGAAGAAAAAACGCATAGCAATTCATTTTAGCACCTCGACGGCACAAGGGCTTCTCCCCTACAATTGAGCAATTCAGGTAGTTGTCACCCCAAGAAAGCATCTTTTTTCCCCCTTTTTGTATGGCGCGTATATGATGTCCACTTCTCTATTCTCTCGTCCCGTCCGGAGTGTTGTCTACGTTCAGCGGGCCAGTGGCTCCTACGCTACGGGGAAACGCCCGCGATGAATGGGTCCAGGCAGGGGCTGGCGACAACTTGGCGCCTGAGCTTGTAGGGAGCATCACCCACGGATTTTTTGTTCAAAAGGGGGGGGGGGTGTTCATCATCCTAAGATAGATGCTTAGGAGTTGGGATAACATAATC